CTGTTTGCTGAAGGGGGTTTTATTCATGTACGAAGCACAGTGTTACTAGGTCAGTGCCCTGGCTTTGACTGTATTTGAGCAAGTTGCCCCATGGAAATGACTTCTGAATACGATTCCAGTTTTGTTGGTAGGGCTCATACAGTCACGCAGGCAGAGTGCAGTTGGCTGCCATGAAAATGCAGGGTTATGTTGTAGTCGTTAAGCAGCTTTTAGATAATCAATTATAATTTAATTAAGTGCCATCAATACTGCTCTGTCTTAATGTGCAGCCCTGAAATACCCCAGCTGGCAAAGGTAAGAACAGGTGGCTGTGGGACAAGGCCTGAGAGCAAAGTGCTGCATGGTTCTGATTATTCTTGTCTTACTGCATTTCTGTAGTGCCATACAAAGACATGGAAGCTCAGAGAGGGCCTGGAAGGAGGCAGGGCAGGGTGGCACCATAGAGCAGAGATTCTCGCTGAGGGTGTGGCAGTGCCCTGCTGTGCTATGAGATCCTTTTAGGGATGCCACGGGATGCCCACAGCATTAGCACTGTTCTGTATGCAAACACCTGCACGTGATTCACAAGACAAACCCAGAGACTTCAATAGGAAACCGTAGTGTCAAAAGCATTCTGACCCGTTGTGGGCTCGCTGAGTTCTTTGCAACAGAAGACATGCTCTTTAATTTTTCTGTAGTCAAGAACAAGAGAAAGCTAAGAGCTGGCATTTTCCTTGAGTCTAAAAGGTTGAGAACCGCTGCCTTAGAGACTGTCGTATAGTGAGGTATAGGATTTTGCAGATGATAGCCCACTTTGTCAGAAGCCATGAGTACTGTAGTCTGTTCATAGCCTCTGACAAAGTGGTTTGTCACTTACAAAGCGTATGTCTCTCTCTACCAGTTAGCCTGTAAGGTACCACCGTGCCTTTCTGTCTTCCTGACTTCCGGCTAACACAGCTAACCACCTCTCTCTTCTCAAGGAGGAGAGACCCTGTGTCTAGAATCTCATACGAGAAGTTTCCCACTGAACATTAACGATTGGTCCTGCTTCTGATCCTCCTGACATCCATAGTTGTGTGGCTGGTGGTAGAATTGCCCAGCTGGGGTCTGCATTCGACACAGCAGAGGAAGAAGCAGTAGCACAGTGTGGAGAGCAAAGGGTTACATAGGAAAAGAGCAAGAGCCTTGCGGCTGCTTGTGAATCTCTTTAGCTCTGAGTGTGCGTGTGAGCTTGAGGAAGACGCAGTGAGGGTGTGTGACAATTACCAATGGAAATTGAACATTTGTTATGAGTTAATATATTCTGGTTATCTGAAGGGAGATAAATCCAGTGGCTGCTCTTGCTGCAGCAGGGAGGGGAGCTCAGTGTAGCCGTGAGCTCGGAGGGGTCTGCATTGCTGGGAGGGGAAAGTTAGCACTGGGAAGGGGCTCCCTGGAAGGAGACTGACAGATGGATTGGGAGGCAGGTGCACAGGGGGCTCATCCTGGCAGAGTCGGCACCGTGCAGTAACCCTGGATTGAAGAAGCCTTAGGAACAGAGGACTGGTCTTCCCCAGACAAGAGGGGCCAAGTCCCCAGCTGCCCCAGAGGGACATGACTTTGCTCACCTGCTGTAAATGAGTCATCCATGTCCCCACAAAGAGCCTGCCAATCCTAGAAGACCAGGCTGCGTTTAAGTATGGGTTCAGTGCTGCTGGATACCCTTCGGGGGAATCTAGCTGTGACTGACAGTTGCGGGGCAGCGATATCATTTACAAACACTGTACTCCGCAGTGAATACTGATCAGTATGCAGCTGCCATGGGAGATGTTTGCCGTATGCTGGTACTGGAAAGTTTGCTGTATGTATCTGGGGTTAAGTTCACTAGCAGGAAGATAACACGATGGAACCAGATACAAACCCTCTGGGTAGGCCAGGCAGGAGGTGAAAAGACAAAATACAGTCACAGCTAAATAGCCTCATCAGTTTTCAGACCCAGCCAAAGGAAGCCAGCTTAGTTTAAGATTAACCAATGCCTTGTTTTTAGAAATCTAGGCAGTCACTGCATTGAGCCCCTGAAGGTGTTGAGCTCAGAGGCTACAGGGCAGCGTCAGCGGGGATTGCTCAGGTCCACATGGGGCGGTAGGCTGAGGTCCAGTCAAAGAGCAGGAGAGTTATAGGAGATGAAGGCAGGAGGACTGGCACTTGAGGGGTGTCCTCAGAGCCCAAAGGGGAGTCCCACATGCAGCTTTCCCTGAACTCTGACACTCACTAGCACTTCCTTGAACAAAGCTCCCCAATCTACACAAACTGCAGATTCCTGTTCAAAATCTGATAACGTTCAAAATCCAGTACCATGCATTAGGTAGTGTCTACATGCAAACAAATGGAAACAGCTGCAGCCTTGGATTCTAGTTGGAGTGGCTTGCTTTGGTTTATGTACCCTAACTTTCTGGCTTTAAACTGGAACAAGCCTGACTCAAACCCTCTGTGGCTTTTTGCAGTGATGCAACTAAACCAGATTAAAATCCAGCATTTGCACTCAAGAAAGATCCCAAATCAAAATCTTTCCCACCCTCATTCCTGCCCTCAACAGTGTTTAAGTGGCACAATGCCTGGCTTGCTATGGCAGGTTTGTCCACAGCAGCATTCAGGAGTGCAGTTGTGGGCCAGGACCTGATGCCCCGGGCACTAGTATACATAGGACAAACAGTCGCTGCCCCAAAGTGCCAATTTGGCAGGCAGTCCCCTCTGATATGCCAATTCTGCCAGGCCTACTACACTGTGGCCTCTGGCTACAGTGATATCCTCTTCTGCTAGTCCAGTGCATTAGCCTTATGAGCCAGTTCTTTAAGGCTGTTTCTTACTTTTTTTACATTATTTTCACCTTTTCCCCGCTTTCTTACATCAAAAACAAAAACAAACAAATAAAAAAAAAATCCCTCTCCTTCTTATATTTAAGGACTCCGGGCTTCAGCATTGCCTAACAAGTCTGTGGCTTAATTACAGCACATCCTGAGAGCACAGTTTCGTTCTAATTTGCTTTAGAGCCTCTAGGTTTTCATGTTTATGAGCAATTCAAGCCAACAGCTATGATTTCTAATGGGTGTCAGGAGGGAATGTGGTGGTTTGAAGCTCGGGATTTAAATCCTTTGCCGAAGTGGTTTATGAGCTAAATCCAGTGGATGAGAAAGCTTTCAGCTGGGCAGGGAAGGTGTAGTGTAGCTAGCAGAGCTTGGAGCTTGGAAGTGAGGTAGTATGAGTGAGTGGCTAGAGCAATTGCCAGTGTTGGGACATTTGGTCTTACCTCTGCCATTTTCCAAAGTAAGTGACAGTGTCTAATGTTACAGTCAGAGTTTGAATATCAGTGATATCAACGTAGAGATCATTTTGTGATGGCTCCTCATCAGTGCCCTTGTGGCAAGTTCAAGTCCTGCAGATTGCTAAAACAGCACCTACAGTTCCCATTTTATGGCTGGAGAAATCCTGTAGGTTGGGATCATACCTCTTGTTCATCTGCATGGAAACTGTATTTTTGAAGCTGAAAAGCAGTCTGACATACTGAAGGCCCCAAGAATAGGAGTGACCTGGAGAATTCATGAACACCGATGAGCTAGTTCTGATCACGTGAGAACACGTCCTGTCAAGGGTCTTATACCAGATTTCTAATCACCCTTACACCAGTGCCTTCAGAGCATAAATCACACCTGCTCTGTATGGAGCCTTCCCAGTTCTACACAACCCACTCTTCCGCTTTCTAACGTGTGCAGACCCGCAGATGATGGCTACACCGTTTTGGAAGAGCTCCTGCCACATGAGGCCAGAACCGTGGGCCCCTAAATCTCATGGAGCCATGCTTCTGGGCTGCTCTCCTGCAGGTCCCACATATCCTCCCCTGCTTCAGGAGAAGGCCAGGAAGGAAGTAGGGGGTACACGTCTGAGCCCTCCCTGAATGAGAGGCCCTGGACTCTGGACATGTGCCCTAGCCACTGGGCAAGCAGGTGGGAGGGCTTTCCTCCCTCACAAACTATAGCTAGTTCTGGTTTTTTTTCTAGATGCACTTTTGAAGACGTATGCACACACCTACCTAGGTGGAGTAAGATTGCCCCAGGGTACACGCAGTCATAGTGGAGCTTTCTGGGCAAGTTCAGAAGGGCAGTCATAGCTGTGCAGGTGGAAACAGGATAAAAAATCTGCATAACTGTAAAAAATAGCACATTTAGATGTCTAAGTAGCACTTAGGCATGTAAAAGTGAAATTAGATTTGGCCCTAAGTGCTCAGATACCCTTTGGCTAAGTACAGACAGTCAAAAAGCCCAATTAATTCAGCCTTCACAAGGTAGTCTAAGCTGTGTAGATTGAACTGATAAGCAAGTGAACAGACGTTCACTTTTGATTCTGGAAATGCAGCCACGTGCCTGTAGCGGCCCAGGCCAGTAGCTGGTGGGCACTAGAGCAAACCTATCTGCTTGGCTTCAGCCAAGGCTAGCCCATTCACCTGGCAAGGGAGGTGGAAAGCATCCTGGGATGCTGGGGGACTGAGAGTTAACTTGAATCTGGAGGGGATCTGGGACAGAAGTTCAATAAACTGATTAGACCTAAATCAGTTAAGTCTGATACTATATCCATCCAAGTTTATCTTAAACTGGTTTCGACCATTTTGAAAATGGTTTATGTGCATTGAACTTCTGTTATATTACAGAACTGAACCAGTTTCCAATCACTTATACCGGTGTATGTGTAATTTCTGTCCCTAGCCTTTATGATTTGTAAAATCTCCCTCTTGGTCCCCACTGTGGGCCCTTACAATAAGAGCAAGACAGGCCATCCAATTGCCAGGCAGAAGGGGTCTGAAAAAGTCTAGAGAAGCAAAATCAAATTGAACCAAATAAAAAAGTTCACTCCCATTTAGGCCTACCTCATTGCTTAATAGCCTGTGTGTCAGTGCCCCGTGAAGAAGGGATCCCAGCACCTCTGGTAGGCAGTGAGAAAGTACATGACTATCTACCCATCTAACTGTGGCTGTTTTGTATTTTTTTTAGGTTATCCATCTCTCTTGCCCATCAAGAGATCCCTACGGTATTGACTGACTGGTCCATGCAAGTGGCCGTGGTAAGTCCAAATCCTATTGATCCTGTTTTCTGACAGCCTCCTGGGCTAAATCCATTCCTTGGTGTAACTCCCTGGGAGTGGATGGAGCTAGACTAGAATGAAAAACAGCACCTCTGAGTAGCCTGAGAAATTTAAGATGAGCTCCTCTGGAGCAGAGAGGTAGCTAGGCACTGGGAATTTGTCGGAGCTGATCCACAGTGTTCATTCTTCCTATAATCTTCCAGACACCTCCAAACATAAGCACAGGGACCAGTGTGTTAATGAGGAATTCATGACTGCCCTGAAAGCCTTACACAATGAAAATCATCCTGGTCTGTGACCCCTATAAATCTTTGAATCTGCAGAGTGCCAGCACCAGTCCCAGGACCAGGGAGAGCTGAACGGCTTAAGGTTATCTCTGGTGATGTGCTGTGGGCAGAGGTGTCATTAGCCATTTTTGCCCTCTGGACAGAGATGTCAGAGAGTGGAGGCATTTTGTGGGGGTTGTGCTGTTACCCTGGGTGCTCTCTCCACCTTGGATGCTGCTGTCATGATGTGGGTTCAGGGACACAGGATGCTGCTGCCAGGGTGCAGACTCTCTGGGCGGATGCCATTTTGGTGCCCCCTCTAATTTGGCACCACTTATACTATTGGCTATCCTTAATTAAACATGTTCTATCCCCATGCAGTATCTCCCTCTTAGAGTTACAATGTGATACAACCTGGCTTTTCTGCTCCTACTGTCAGTCACCAGCAGTGGATTGCAGTTTCCTCTGCATCCAGTTACTCAGTACATATTTATTCATGTGTTTTACTCTTGGGCTAGTGGCCAGCATTTGACATTCAAGCTGTGTTGGTTCAATTAGGTACTGTTTGCCAGGTGAGTTGCACAGGGTTACTTTTGACCCCAATGGCTAAGTCTGCAAGCACCTCAGTTTCATATACTCTGCAGAGATGATTGTGTTGCTCTTTGCACCAAAAGACTTAGCTAAATCCTGGTGGGCAGTGAGCCCAAAAGGGGCTTGGAGAGCTGGAAATCGATGTACTGGGCTGGGAGCCAGGAGACCTGTGCTCTAGTCATTGCTTTGCCAGGTGACCTTAGGCAACACCATTTCCTCATTTGCAAAATGGTAGGTAATGACCATGTTTTCCACCCTCTTTGTACAGTGCTTTAGGATTGTAGTTTATGTTTGCCTTTCTATAACCAAAGACAAATGTACAAAAGTTACACTCACACCCTGCTCTTAAGAGCTGCACAGGATGTGTATAACTCACTGAAGGCTGCAGGCAGGTCAGCCTTCACAGGGAGACATCGCCTTCCAGATGCATGTGCCTTGAGGATAAATTGTCACCAGCTGATTTAGCAGGAACCAGAGAAGAGAGTCACTGTCAGCTGGGGAAATCTCCAGTGTGGTGGTAGGATGTGAACAGGGACACGTTCTGGCAGCTTGGAGGCTGTAACTGCTCTCAGGTCATGAGCTGTATGTCTGGGGTCAACAGGTCAAAGGACAGTGTGGACAGTGTTTTTTTGCCTCCATATTTTCATGAAAGCAGGAACTGAGCTGCAAAATCAAAGTCAGATCAGAGCTTTTTCCTTAGTAGAGGGCTGTTTGTTGCAGGCTTTGGCTCCAGCCCATGGCAAGTGTGCATGGTATTGCCCTCTTAGTGATGCTCTTGTCTAGGGAGGTGGAATGGGAAGACAGCTGTACTGGAGTAATGCCAGTCCCTGCTTCATGCAGTGCAATGCCATGAATCAGGGCGAGCTCAGCTGCTCCTTTCTGAGAGATGATACCTAATTCCACAAGAATTCCACTGGATTGCCCCTTAATTAAGGAGCAAATTTGGTGCCTTTTAGAGCTAATGAAAATGACAGTCTGCTAATGGTAGATTTGTGCAGCAGGTGCTGTGAAATCTTTCCCCACACAGCCCTGCCAATGCCCTTGCTCCCACCTGCTATTCCAGCCCTGAGCTCTGCTCCCACCCGCAGCTCTGTCAGTGTCCCTCAGTTTGGACACTCAGTGCCCTGTTGTGGCCTCCCTCTACCCACCGATTCAGCCATTGCTCTTCAATCCTAGCCCATAGTCCCCTCTTCTGTTTCCTCTTTACACAGTCAGCTCTGCCAGTACCTCCCAAGCCCAGCCCACAGCCCCCTGCTATTCCAGCCCTTTACATGGGGTTCACTGAAATCATATCTTCGTCTGATCCCCAAAGTGACCAAGAAACATGGTTATGTGGCAAAACAGAGCTCTGGGCTTCCCAGGCCCATCTGATGCCATGAAAACTGAAAGAGGGAATGTGCCCAATTGGATCTCGGTTATGGTGATTTGAAGATAACTCACTTAGCAGTTAAGCCTTTGCATCTCACACAATGAGCTTGTGGAACTCATCTCCATAAGGTATTGGAGCCAAGAGCTAAGAAGGATTTGGGGAAAAGGAGACATGTGGATAGCAGGAACATTGCCATTAAGGATGCATGAACAAGGATAGACAAGACAACATTTCAGTGAGATAAGAGCCAAACTCTAACGGGTCAGGAAGAAATTCCTTCAACCCGCAATGACCAGGGAATTTCATAATTGTCCAGTGAGGGGGATGTTGCATCTTTCTGTGAAACACTTGGTGCTGATCAACGTAAAAACCAGTATACTGGGGTAGATGCCCCCCCTGGTTTGATCTAGTTGGCAATGCCTGTAGTCCTGTAATTATGCATGTGGGGCGGAAAAGTAAATCACGGTGCCCATCAAGAAAAATGCATACTCCAGCTACTGACACAGCTCCTGTAGGAGTGCTTCTGATGGAGTGGCCACAGGGACGACCGCTGGGTTCTGTAGCCCTCTGTCTCCTTAGGAGCCTGGCCATTTAGTTCATGCTGCTTGCCATAGTAGATGAACAACAGAGTTCCCAGGTGTCATTGTTGTCTTCTGCTCCTTCTGCAACTAATGGTGATTCATCTGCAGTTGTAGTGCTTGCAATGGGTTCTCTGGGGATTGTAGGTGCAGCATGTCTGCATGAAGCGCGTGATTGTGGTGTTTGGGTAGTGCAGGATCCTCACATTTCTGTCACTGTTCTGGCTTATCCAGCTGCACTCTGCATTGCATCCAGCACGGGCTCATCTCGCTTAGGTTGACAGCAGCTTGCACTTTCAGTCCCAGGTCTGAGTCTTGCCTGCAAGTATTACCCCCCTGCTTGAATCATAGTTATCATTCTTCCTCCTCCCCCCACTCCCCTTTTCCCTTCATTGCTTCCTGAACCCACACAGGCGTGGAACTTGCTCCCATTTCTCCTGCTGTCCAAACACTGTCTCTCTGGCCTCCTCTGGTGGAGACGACTGCGGTACGCAAGCCCTCGGCTGCCGCTGTAAAGCTAAGAAGTAATTACTTTGCTTGAGATACCAACACAGGGAAATTGCATTTTCTCTCCCCTGTGAAGCATGCCTGGGAAGCAGTGTCAGGGAGGGGTCCATTCATCTTCCTGCTGTCGAACCACTGATTTGACACTGGCTTAGCCCCTTGCTTTGCAGCCCGATCGTGCACTGACAGCCAGACCAAAGGGATGATGAACACTCATTGCCACATGCAGTTTATCCCCTTGCTGTAAATGCTAATGCACCCGCCCAGTGCAATGAATTATCCTTTTCACGCCTGGCAAGCCAGTTAGTCCCTTTTGATGTTGCCAAAGCTAGCGAGCAAGCAAACATCAGCCCATTTTCTGCAATGGGAGCACAGAGAGAGCAAGGAGCAGTTCAGAAGAAAGCTGTCCCATTCCTCTATCTTTAAGCAAGATTAACTCTTTGGAGCTGGGATCCCTCATCATCACTGACCATTAGTCTCATACCCATAGACAAGGTGAAGTATGGGGTTACAGAAGGCCCCTCACCTTGGGGTGGGTGTTTTGGATGTTTTGGGAGAAAGGAGGAGACATGGTTATACTGTTATTGCACCGAATGAGGACTCTGGAGACTAAGGTTTGACTCCCAGCTCTGTTCCAGGCTCCCTTTATGGCTACATAGGGCCAAATCCAAATTGGCTCTTTAGGTGTCTCCATCACGGTTTTCCACATGCTTAAAAATTAGGTATCTGGCTCCATGAGGGTGTTTCAGAGAAATGGTGGATTGGCATCTCAACTCCTTGTACAGTCAACAGGGAGAGTTAGGAGTCTCCAAAGGGTGACTCACAGAAACCCTGAGCAGGGAGCTGCCTAGAGCTAGTCAACAGGAAACACGGAGCACAGAGGTGTTTCTGAAACCACGGCCCTCCCCAGAGTCCTGGTGTCTGACTCATGCATCTTACCTGTATCTTCCAGTGTCAGGGTATATAGTGCTTCCTTCCAAATCAGGTCTCTGGAGCCTGGAGTTGGTAGATGCCTGCCTGAGCAGTGAGGGATGCCCTTGCCCTCTGCAAGGTGATGGGTTTGCATTACCACATCTCACTAGAATCGAATATTCAGTGTTTCAGAGATGTTGGACGTATTGAACTGAATCAGACCAGGGCTCATCTAGCCTTGTATCCTCTCTCAGTTACTGACACTAGCTGCTTCACAACCTCCTAATTGTTCGATAACTTGCTTATGAAAGCAGTTCCTTCCCCAGCTCTGTCAGTGGGTGGCTTATTCCTTATAAAACCACTGCTAAATGATTTTAAATGTCATTGTGGATGGTCTCATTAACCATGTGAATGCCTTATCTTTGAATTCTGCTAATCTCCTGGTCCTGATGATATCTTGTGGCAGTGAGTGCCTCACTTTGATGATGGGCTATATATGAAAGTATTTCTTTTTACCCATGCCTTCAGTGTCATTGGATGTCCCTGTGCTAGGATTTTTAAATATAGGTGGAGCATTTTGATTTGGCTTCGTCAGCGCATTCGTTAATGTACACCTTTCTCATGCCCTGAATCTCCTACCCAGCCCCAAGATCACTGATTCCCATTCCATATTGTAGGACCAAGGCTTTTAACACAACTGGAACAGGTAGGTACAGATGTGGCAGTTCACGTAGCAGCCCCTCATTGAAATGCATGAGC